CCTCGTCTTCTGAATTTGTGATACCACAAAGTTCCTAGATATTCACCTCTTTTGCTCAGCACGAATGGTACCTGGGGTAGGTAACACCTACCATAAAGTATACCCCTGCCTACCCTACACTCTTGGATGGCATCCATTCCTGTGCCCTGGCACCAACACTAACCACAAAAATAATCTCACGTGAAATTTAGCGCAAGGCTACCTGTTTTAAGAAGGAGTACCATTCCACTGTCCTATATGACTGGTTTTCGCTGCTCAAGGGCAGGATGCTGCTTATACATACAGTGAAAGATTTTGATTAAATTCGCGTGCAATGGCATCAGAAGAGGGCAGGTCTACTAGGGGACTGCCTGCAAGTAATGTTTACCGTGATTGACAGACGCATCCACAATCATGCTACTTTCCGTGCATCAGTAGTAGTTCTTCCGGGTTAAACAGCGATTTTCTTGCTGGTCACAGTTGAGTCTGCATAGTCTCCGTCGTCCTTTAAATGGCCGTGAATGTTTTTCAGTTTTAACAGCTTCTGATCGACCGTAAATTGGACAGCTTCTGTCGTCCTAATTTACCTCACTCCTACAAAAATTATCTTGATGGAGACCGGGCCATTTCACGATGCTCGTAATTACTCAGATGACGTTTCCTGATGTGACTGTAAAGTGCCCTTACAAGTTTTGTTATAACAGGCACGAAGTCTCTCAAATAACTGAGACATAGTAATATGAAACGCATCGGCTGCATTATTTATCCAATTCCCGCTAAAGAAGGAGGAGCTGTAGGAGTTGGAACAGTACACTTATTCGTTTGCCTTTCAGTTTTTATTGGCACTAATGAACCGCGAAGACTGCAGATTAGGGTATTTTATGTATAGGCAGCAAGCGTTTTGCTTATCTGTGCTTAGTTTAGGTTGTAGTTCCTGCAATCGTCGCCGATGTTTGTGACATCCTTGCTACTAATTTAATTATGCTTGGTGCTTCTAATTAAAAAGTTTACTAAAACGTAATTGAAGATCATTGCTATTGCCAAGAGTAACACAGATCCTTACAAAGTCTTCGAAATGACTTGTGAATGACAATATAATATATACTTTTGAGTTTTTTTGGTCAGACAGGCGGAAGAGCACATAGTTTGCTTAGATCAAAGTACTGTGCACGACATAAAACTGCTGCTTCAACGGTACCCAAAAAATAATAGAACATACATCATCTAACCTTTGGGTTCAACTTATTAAGGCGAATTCTTAACCTTTCTTCATTCCGTCTATGTTATAATCCAGAATCATGACGACGTGCTGTACTAGAACGTTGTATGGTGGACCATCGCGCTGTGTGCGATTGTGGTCTTCTATGCGAAAAAACATATTATCCTCGACGAAATATTTCAATGACAGGGGCTGACCGAGTGGAATATTTTTGCATCGACGAGATCCAACGAAACAATGAGCGGCGGTCAAAGTCCATGTGGACGAAATGACGGTTGAAGCATACACACCAACCTATTCAAAAGAGAACCAAATTATCGTTATTAACTATCTTCTGATTCCAAAATCGTGAGTCGGTGGTATATTCTACAGGTATTGAGTAGATTATTATGGAACGGGAAAAGCGGCCTTCTGGAATTCAAACTCACGACAGCGAGGACAAGCGTACCTAATCTCATGACATCCAGTAGGGCTTCTTAGCATAGTTGGTTGGGTCGCGGGCTGCACTCAAGCCTTGCCCTTGCTGCCATGGGCTTTAATTTCACCGAGGTTGCCGAGGTCTCGCGATTGGATGACAGTACTCATTTTATTACATAGCGTTGTTTACCAGAATTTGGGGAATTAAAGCAATTTACATCACGGATAAGCCGAATTTTTAAGCCGCATTTAAATGCCATTATTCTTTTATTGTCTGTAAACTCAAATTTAATCCATGAAATTCTCGGAATTAGCTAAATTTTAACATGCCGTTAAATATGGCGACTACGTATGCAATTCACAGTTTCAAGTTCATTTAATATTACATAATTATGTCGACAACAACGGGACTTATGAGATTCAAAAGGCAGCTGGGTAGGCATATTTATGATCGCTGAAAAAAAAAACATTCTCTTCTTGAGGTTTTGAAATATTGACACATTTTTAAAATAATTTGAAAAAGAGCAAGACGTGTTTTCCTTCACCAATCATCTTAGTAGGAGGGAGCATATTCAATAGGTTGTATCTAGGTGTTTTGCACACTTTGCTAAACGTTATAGGTTGTCCGTAGTCAGGCGGATAAACAAATCTCAAATAAACCGCAACCTCGCTTTGTAGTGGCTCTTTATTTAATTCTAATCCATGACGGTGACCTGAATGTTTGTGTGCTTTATGATAATAAGTTCTGCGCTCCTACATGTTGTATGCGATACAAATGCTCAATGGAAATTGTGCCACTCGAAAGAATTCCGAAATTTTTTCTACGGAGACCCAAAACCCAGACTCATCCATAATCTCTGTTTTCTCCTGTCTCAACCACCCACATATATAGAACAGGGTATGTGCATTATATTTCAGTAGCCTTATATTGTCGTTGTGGAGGTAAATGAAACATGTCGTCTGAATGTCCGCATCAGGACTGATGCTAAGTAGGACGTCCGTTTTCACACCAAGCGCAATGCCAGCTTCCTCTAGATAACTTGCCATTGTTTACTCCAGGACGAGAGTTTATATTTACAAAATAATAAGTAGTCTGATTTCGTGAAAGTGCTGCTGGAATCTCGGTAAACATCGTCGAAATGCGTTATCATTAAGTTCTCAGTATCTTTGGTGTACACGTCGTCTGAATGTGCGCATCACGAGAGATGTTAACTAGGATATCCTCTTCCACCCGAAGCGCAATCTGGGATGTGCTGTCGCAATCGCCTGTCGTATTATAACAAGAAACCAAAGAATACGTTAGCTGTCCATTATGTTTATCCATACGTTTCCAAACTCAGTTGTAAAAGTTAATTCTTATCATTTTACGTGAGTCAGGTAAATTTATTCACGTAAATTAACAAGCGTGGCAGTTTGCTCAGCACAAGGTCTGTCCTTCTACACTTCCAAAAATACAAGTATGCTAAACAATTCGCTGAATGTTACGTCTTCTAAACGGAAGAGCATCAAATGGTAGGCCGATGAATGCGTGGCAATTCAATTTATTTATCTACATTTCGTTTAAATTGCGAAAGGGCCAAATTTTTTTCCTTTGATCTATACAACGTGCAATATGTCTTTGCACTGCGTCCTGAGTTTGGCTTGTAGCTATGCCAAACTATCTTTTTAAACACACTGATTATAATAAGGATACATATTTTGGGATTGTGCCACTGACGCAGTATATAAAACTAAATAGTCACCCTGCAAATATATATTCTGCCATTGACTATCGCTCTTCTTTTTACAGATGTGGCGGGATATTCTTGTAGCTGCCTTCCTCTTGGCAACGTGGATGAAGGCGTACGACTGGTCATAAATAGTCAGTTCTGTACACGAAACTAGTACGGCAGGCAGTTTACGCGGCGGGTAAATGACATCTAGCATAGGTGAATTGGAGGCCATTAGTAAGGAGGCTTTTCTTCCAAATCAATTCTCAAGGATGGCCAAATTCATTTGACACGTAGTCAAAAAACACAGATTACTTAATTACGGAAAAGAGACTAACTGCCCATGGGTTGCAGAAGTGACAACGTCCAATACTGTGACTTGTGGGTTTGAATAAAGCGATTTTCCTTCCATAATTTCGCTCAGCGACGCGGTGCATCCGACGTTCACAAGCTCTGTGCACAACTGATCCTCATTCTACGGGAGTTTACATTGCAGTTTCGCTTTCGGCAGCAAGACCTAGTTGGATTGTGCAAGGTAAAGCATCGGACGACTGGCAGAAGGTCGCGGCAGGTTCATTAAAACTTCGAAAAACTAACCGAAAGTCAAGTGCCTTCAGACAACGCATGACCCAACGAGCTGGGACAACTAAAATGGTTCGCTGACGATCGTGTTGCGGATGAGAGCTACCGATTGCACCATGCATCATGAATGTTTCACAGTTACCAGCTATGTGAAGGAAGCAAGCAATTTGAAAGTTGCGAACTAGTTACGTTCGTGCACCGAAGGTCGCAGTTAAGGATTACGGGCAGTAATTAGCTAGTGAAAGCCAGGGTCATAAATACAATGAAAAGCTACTGTTTTTGCAATTCAATGTGGTCGAAAATAAACGTCTGCAAACGTATAGACTAAAATACTCACTCAACTGCTGTGAGCTATATGATCAACATGGCTTCTAAAGCAGGAGAATAAAATTACACGGTCTTCTTCCACAAAACACTTTCTAGGTAGTGGTCGT